TGAACAGTTCCAAAAGTCAACTGTGGATAAAAACTGGGAGACGGAGGGAGTAAAAATTTAAAATTAAGCATTTCATTGATTCTCCGTAAAAAATAAATTTTATTAACATTTTCTTTTCACCCTGAGTGAAGATATGTGAGAGGATTACGGTTATCGGGGAAAGTAAGGGAAGGGGTAGACTTAGGAAGAATTGGAAGGAGGTGATTAGGCAAGATTTAGAATTTCTCAACCTGACTGAGGATATGGCTTTAGATAGGAACCTTTGGAGAACTAGGATTAGAGTAGCTGGATAAGAGCCCGGTGCTACAGAGGTTTTTTGTAGTGTATTGTGTTTGGTTGGAATCTTTTGCTATTGCTTGTAGGACTTTCATTCCATTGTACTTAATGCTTTATCTGTGTTATACTGTGTTCCCTACCATATTTTTTGTGCAGGTTGAGCCGGGGGTCTCTTGGAAACAGCCTCCCTACTTCCGAGTAGGGGCAAGGTCTGCGTACACACACCCTCCCCAGACCGTACTATAGTGGGAATCAACTAGGCTGTTATTGTTGTTGTTTAACATTTTCTTTTCATTTACTAAGCATTTCATTTATCAAAAACAGAGAGTAGAAACCAATAAACCACTACAAAAGTCAAAAAATGAAATTAGAATTTGAAGATCAAAATGAAACTAAAATTACAAACTAAAAAATTTAAAACGAAAATAAAAAACTAAAAGTAAAAAACTACACTCTCCGTCGTACATTAAACTGTATCTTTACTATTCACTGAGTAAGACTTTATTCACTTTCTTTTTACATTTTTGTTACTCATTTGATAAAGTAATATAGTCATGTCACCTCTTATTTTCGTTAATCATCATTTGATAAAATAATATAGTTTTTAATATGTAAATTTTATTTTTTTAATTTTGCTCCAACCATCAAATAAATTATATTAAAAATAAATTCTGTCAAACATCGTAAAGGAATTCCCAATAGGAAAGGATGAGTAAAAGAAAAATGAAACGATGGAGAAGGAGAAGAAACAAAAAAACAAAAAGGAAATTCTGATTAGGGTGTTCAGCATCGTCGCCCCTATTACGCCGACCCCCCATCGGGGGGTGGCGCCGATCGGGACCGAGTGCCACATCGGCCATACCGACGCCACACCCTTCAGCCTTACTAGTTGGGATTAAAGTGCTAAGAATGGTTATGAATTATGATTATGATTAGGATTCCACAATGTAATCATCTTTGAGACAAATAATCCAATTGGTGTGCATAAACTCATGGTTAATTTCAGAAACCATTTAAATTTAAACCAAATGTGGCATAAGAGCATTGGCAGCGGCAAGGATTTGCCTTGCCACGCCCTGCCATCCGTGGGGATCCATAGACACCACGGGAGTGGCAAAAATTGGGTCGCGTGGCATGCCGCGAGCCACTCCGATCTGTGAGGCAAGTGCGAGGCAAATAGGAGCATCGACCAAAGTATCTGGGAAAAAATCCGGCCGCTTCTCGTCTCTATCATCTGCGGAAATCACCAGCGGCACCCCTCTTCGGAAGTCAGGTCACCATCGCCGGCCACCCCCTCACTCTCAAGTACCCCTTGTTAGACGCCTTTCACACCTCTAGAGGGGGCTGAATAGAGGTGTTCGCGAAAATAATAAAATTTTTCGTTTAAAGAAGAAAAAGCGCAGGAATAAAATAAAAGATTAACGGAAACAATGAAAGCGAGGAGACAACGATATATCCTGGTTCGGCCTAATGCCTATGTCCAGTCCCCAAGGCAAACGTGCCTGAGATTCCACTAATCCTTGTTAAACTTAACGGAGTTTAACAATCCGAATACAACTCGAGAACTTGATTTCACAAGCCTCTAACCTTTCCACCGAAGTCTTGATTTCACAAGACTTTGGATTTCAATCCAAAACTTGAATTATTTCAAATTCAAGTTTTTAAAATTTAAAAACTTACAAACCAAAGTGCACAGCGGAATTGACTCTTCGAACAAGAGCAGATATGCTGTAGATTACAACCAAACCTATAGTGTATGGCACAAATGACTTGTAACGCCCTACAACCCGGTCTATTAGAGTTGATTGTTTGAAATAATTGATTACTGTTCCGGTCCAGAGTTGGGGAAAATAAAAGTTCTTAGAAAAATTATTTGAACATGTCATTAAATTCGTTTTGACTGTCTGGTTCCGGAAACGCAAACAGAACTCAGTTTGGACCCATTCGGGGAAAATAGCGCGTACTGTTCAAGTCAGATTTCACATAACGGAGTAAAATTAATGGGAGATAACTCCCCAAATAAACCCATACGCCACCCTCACCCTTTTAACTCACCATCACTCTCATTTATTCTCCTCTTTATTTCTCATAATCCCCCTTAACTTAAAACCCCCCACTCTTCCCATTCATTCCCTCACATTTTGTAACTTCCACACACAATTCTCACTCTCTCCCTCTTCCTCTCCCCCAATTCGGCCAAGGCAGCAAGCAAACCCAGGGAGGATTCCGGCGAGTAGACGAGGAGGTAGAAGAGGAGAGGTTCACGCAAGAATCCGTTTGTTCGTCGTTGTTCGTTCATTCATTCGTCCATTCATCATCCATCCGTTCAATTCACTTACGTTTCATCAAACCCTTTGTTTAGAGGTGAGTAGTTGTCCCCTCTAATTCTAGAACATCAAGTTATAATCTATGTTGTTATATTCATAGGAATATCGTACGCAACCTACGTAGAATCTATGCATGTTCGTAGGTTAGTCATCAAAATGTTCACTACGTAAAACTTATATTTATTGGCCTAGGAATCACTAGGAATATATTCATCAATGTTGTATTATTGTTATAAACAGAATCTAAGTGTTAAATTAGCAAAATGGATCAAAGCGAAGCATGGGACAACGGACTGTCTTCGGGACGGTCGACCGCCGCTACGGACGGTGGATCGTTCCCTCAGCCATTCCGACGGTCACCACCGTGACGGTCGACCGCCGGCCGCAACGGAAGACCACGGTGGACCGTCCGTGACCCAGACTCCAGACCGTAGCCCACGGTCGACCGCCGGTAGGGTACGGTCGACCGTTCCGCAGGCAGAATTTCGGGCAGTTTGTAGAACGAGCCCCATTGACCAGTTTGACCCAGAATCTGTTTGTATGTTGCATGAAATGTTAATCTACATTATGTACGTTATTTAATTGATATATTCTTGGCGTTGACCAAAGGTAAATACATCAAGCATTCATCATGTTCATCCTAGACGCATGTCCTAGGTTTTTCATCATGTGCATACCACTGTAGGGAGGTCAGGCTTTCGTGCGCCTACTACAGTAGGCCCGTCCAGGAACCTTTGGGATCCAGCGGCTTTTCATCATGTGGGCTTTGTGTACGTACATGGTAGTCAGGCTACGGCTACCACCCGGTTTTTGCTAGTTCACTTGCGACGTTTTGTCGAGCCCGGGTCATTACCGGAGTGCAGGGGTGATCCTGTCAAGTGAGACTAAGTCAGGGGTGTCCCTAGTAGCTTAAGTCACGCATCAAGTCATATTGTCATCATGTATGTTTCATGTCACGACAGCATTCAATGTGGTTGTCGTCATCATGTATGTTCCACGTCACATCAACATTCAATGTGGTTGTTATTCATTTTGTTATGTGTAATAATATCCTATCAAGTGCAAATTAATCAGTTAGTAAACATGTGGTTTTTCGTACTTTAAGTACAGGTATTAATATGTGTATAGCCATATGGGTTATCACTTTATGTTCTACTCCTCAGCTTATGCTGAGCGTGTAGTTGTTTTTGCTACACGCAGGTAGACATGACGGTACAGGTGCTAACCCTGGAGGACAGTGATGGTGGGAAGATGGGCGGCGCATGGACAAGTTCAATAATTAAATACATTTAATTAATCATTTGGGCATGAATCCACCATTTGTCGTTTTACTTATTTACTTCCGCTTTTACTCTGCATTTATATATCACACACATTTTGGGGTAACTCCCTAGCATTTATTCTACCAATTAATCATAACCGTTTTCAAAATAAATGGACATTAATGTTCTTTTCTCTACGGACGGTTCTAGGACCGCCCATGTAACCCTACCGGCCCGTTGGGTTGCGGGTGAACCGGGTCCACGGAAGGCGGGTGTTACATGACTCTCCAAACTTTAATTTGAAGGATTGCTCAAGAAAATGCTTGAATGAATTGAGTAGGAGGATTTGATTCAATAAAACTCTTTGAAATTCTCAAAGGATAGCAATTGTAAATGTTCTTGGATGTTCTTATATTTTGAAAACCGGAACTAGATAGAGTATATATGGATAGGACCGAAGAAACCTCCACGGGAATTTAAAAACTGACCGTTAGTTGTGAAAACTGTCGATTTATTCTACTAAAACACCATTTATTCGAATAGTTTTGATGAAACAGGAATTTAAAAACGCAATTCCTATTCGAATAAATCTTAGATTTATTCGAATAAACCCGGGTGAACTGAAATCCCGGGAAGCTACTTATTCGAATAAATAACCATTTATTCGAATAGTTTTTAAAAGTTTGGAAAAACTGGAATCAGCACTTATTCGAATAAAACAAGCATTTGTTCGATTAAAACAGACCGAGCTGCAATCTGCAGAAGTCCCTCTTATTCGAATAAATCATCATTTATTCGAATCAAATCCTGGGAAAATATAGTTTTGAAAGAATACTTCGAAAAACATTTTAAATAACAATAAAGAAAGAATTCTTTTAAGAGAAATAGAGAATTTTGAAGAATAAACATGTGCCACACACTTTAACAAGAACTAAGACTTAAAAAAAATGTAAAAGATCTAGAAACTTTTTTAACACCAATTCTAGTCTTGGAGCTCGTAAGCCAACTTGCAAGATAATCCCTACGAAACAGGTGACTTGATTCAAAGATCCAAAGCTCATCCCACATATAAGGTTGTCATTATCAAAACACAAGGGTCAACAAATTCCCCCTTTTTGATAATGACAAACCCAACCAAAGAATTGCTGGAGCTTGTGGTTGTAAAAAAATGCAAAGTCCTGTCTCATAGGCAATAACCAAAACAATAGCAAGCCAAAACAATAACAAAACCAAAAAGCAAGTCATACAACTACTTCCCCCTGTTTGTGTGCCACCTATCAAGCACAAGGAGGTCAACAGTAAGTGGCCTGTTGGAGCTGGATGTTGTTGAAGGAGGATTGGAGGCTTTGCAGGGACTCAAAAAGCATAGGCAATGTGACCTTGTCACCCCGGGAAGCCACACGTGACTGAGAAGTTCCGATTTCTTCACGTTCTTCATCGTCACCATCAAGCTTGGTTCTCATTACTGCTGGCCTCTTGATCCTCCAAAAAGGAGTTTCACTCTCCATCTCGGCCTTCGCAAATTCAAATCCCTTCCTTTTCAAAAGATAGGTGAGAAGCATGGGGTACAGTAGAGATTTTTTCTTTGCCCGGCACAAGTTCATGTAAGTCAAGATGTACTTCCCCCAATTGATATACACCGGCTTCAAGATTGCATAGATAAGCATCGCATCGTCTTTGCTCATTTGAGGGTGATTGCCCGAGCGCCCACACAGGATATATGAGGAAATATATTGAATGAGGCGTTGAGGAGGTTGCATTCCATTCACCTTGGGCCGTCCAGATTCATTGAATTTGGGTCGAAAATTCATCACTTCCCAACACTTTTGTTCATCAAAATTATACCAAGGGTTTTGATCATTATTTTGGGTAGTGAGCTCCTTGTTACTATTCTCCATGCCAAACATCTCATTCAATTCACCACTAGAAATAGTAACCTCTTTACCACAAAACTTAGAAATAATCACATATTGATGATTTCTACGCTTGAAAGTCATATCGGAGTAGAAAGCTTTAATATGATTAACCGAAATATGGGATTCATGAATTGTCACAACATTTATCAACCTCGAAGAACGAAGCTTAGACAAAACCGGTTCATAAGAAGTATCTCGCTCAAAATCATCAAGGTCAACATAACGGGGGGTGATAATTTTCCGGGGAAGGACATTATCACGATAGAAATTCAAAGCTTCTTCACTATCAAAGAAAATTCTAGGGTTGAGAGCAAATTCAAACCTTTGATTTTCGTTTGAAGTTGGAGGTTGAGAAGAGGAGCCCGGATGAGTAGCTTGAGTAGATGGCCTTGAAGTCCTCTTCTTGGTGCGAGAAGCCATGGATTCCGGTAGGAGAAGTGGCGAAGGAGGTGATGAGACGCCAGAGAAGATGAAGAACTACGGCCTAGGGTTCGTCGCTGAGAGAGAGAGAGGCGCGATTGGGTTTTTGTGAGAGATAAAAGCTTTGACTGAATGAAGACCTTTTAAAAAATATCAGATCTAATCTTATTTAGTCGAATAGTTCCTCACTTATTCGAATAAATCATGTTGAGCCGCGACACTGGAATTTTTAAGCCACAAACTTATTCAATTAGTTTCCCAAACTATTCGAATAAAACGCTGTAGCTGAGCAGTCCTTTGAAAGTCTTCAAAAAGCTAAAGTCAAATTAGAATTCCCCCTCAATAAATGCTTTCTATGGATTGAGAAAGAGGAGTGGATGGGTGAGAACCTGCAAAAAAAAAATTAAGGCCACTCCGATGCCTAAGTTAGTATAAAATAAAATAAATAAAAAATAAAAATATTAACTTAAGTAATGGCAATAATTCCAAAGGCATTTCTAATACGACAAAAATTCTCAAGATCCAAAGGTTTAGTAAAAATGTCAGCCAACTGATTAGTTGTATCGACAAATTCAATGTCTACATCACCCTTTTGGACATGGTCTCTAATAAAGTGATATCGTATATCAATATGCTTTGTACGAGAGTGATGAACTGGATTCTTCGTAATATTTATAGCACTCATATTATCACATCTCAAAGTAATATGATCAAGTACAAGGCCATAATCCAAAAGTTGTTGTTTCATCCAAAGAATCTGGGCGCAACAACTTTCCGCAGCGACATATTCTGCCTCGGCGGTGGACAAAGCAACACTAACTTATTTCTTACTAAACCAAGAAACAAGTGAACATCCAAAAAGATGACAGGTTCCACTAGTACTTTTTCTATCCATTTTGCACCCGGCAAAGTCGGAATCAGAATACCCAATGAGAGTACATGTTGAACCTTTGGGATACCACATTCCCATAGTCAAGGTGCCTCTCACATACTTAAGGATACGTTTGACGGCAGTCAAATGTGATTCCTTAGGGTTTGCTTGATATCTAGCACACATACAAACACTAAACATAATATCAGGTCTACTAGCGGTTAAATATAATAATTGTTGGGGAAAATATTATAGATTTTGATGATGATGTATTTAGAATGTAATAGGGACTTTAGGTCTCCCCCAATATTCAATGTAATTTTTCTTTTTAGAAATATTGTCAAAACCGAGTTCTTGAGATCTCCAATAAAGCTGTGATATTTCTTTGAGTTAGAGGGATACTCAGATTCTGACTTTCCAGAAGTTAGAAGCCAAGTGCTCCTCATCGACATTATTTCAAAGCTATCTGGAAATGATAGCCGCTCAAGAACTCTCAGAATTTCTTCAAATGGAGATTCGACTCAAATTTGAGGAAGAAGTTCTTGAATTCTACAGAAATGGAGAAATCAAAACTGCTCATTCAAAGAAGGACCCACAGCGGACATTTCCGGTCATCAAGTCCACTGTTGGAGGTACGAAAGTGAAGCTTTCGCAGAAGAAATGGGAGAAAAGCTTCGCCTTCCCAACTCTGGGATTGAAATTGGGAAATTTCCATCCAAAAATCTGGACTGGAACATCATTGGAATTTCTGGGCAAATTCCTTCTGGCCCGGCAAAGAAAGCAGATCTAAACAACGACTACAAGTTGATTTTAGAACTGGTCATCGCCTGCCTCGAGTGTGGAAGTGGAGGTCACGGCGATGACATCACCCAGGAGAGAGCCTTCATCATCAACGCTCTCATTACCAAAACTAAGGTAAACTGGGCTGCACACTTTTTCAATTCCATCTCAAAACATTTGGGAAAGCCCAACTAGAAATATCTCTGTCAAGGACTATACCTTGGACATATTTTGGAGTCTATGGGTATTGCTTCTAAAGGAAAGAAGTATGAAGAAAGATACTTGTTATACTATCTGTCTTCAAAAGGGGAAAACATGGCTGGTACTAGTGCCACTGCAGAAGAAAGCTCTTCAGATAACGTCCCACTTATCCATATGAAAAAGACTACCAAAAGGAAGAAAGTGGTGTCTCCCTCCATTGAAGCACCACAGAACCTTGCCTTGATATGTTTGGAAGAAGAAGAAGAAGTCTGACCATGGAGAATTTCAAAGGAAGAAGAAGAGGAAAATCAACTCTCCATCAACATCTGGAAATGTCAATCCGGATGAGTTGAAGGAGAAGGAGCCTGCTGAGGAAACCTCTGCCCAAAACCGGAGTACTCAACAACTTGAAGAAGAAACTCCTCAAGTCCAAAGCCTTCCAACTCCCTCATCTCAGCCTCATACAGATGATGCTGACAGCAAATTCTGGCAGCTCTACTATAATTGGAGAGCTTGGAAAGTTGGAAATTCAGCAGAGCAACTGTTGGATTGGGATCAACAACTAAAGAATGAGGATGTTATCAAGAAGTGCTTAGGAATACCAGTCAACCACAACTGTGAAGACATTTTGAATGACTACTGGGTATGGCAAAAGAACCCTGAAGACCTGCATATGGAATACCTGGCCAATACACCAGTTTCAGACTGTGAAGCAGATGATGAAGACACTGCAGTCTTCAAGCCAGTCTTCTCAAAAGTCACAGAAGACCAAGTGGCTCTTACTTCTGTGGAAGCAGCAGTTGAGGATTTCCAAACATTTCCGGAAACCTCACCTGCCTTCGAAACGGAAACCTCACCTGCATTTCAGGTAACTTCTCATGCTTCTGAAATGGTTCTAACTGAAGTTGTTCAAGAGAAGGCAACTTCTCCCCCACAAGAACAGAACCAGGAAACAGCAGCAGAAGAAGAAATTCAGCAACTAATCCAATCTCAAGTTTTAGAGACTCTCACAACTCCTGGTGAGATCTCCAATTATACAGAAACTGAGATCCCGGAGAAGTCAGCAAAAATTCCAGAACAGTCAGCTCTTCCAGAAACAATAGAGCAAGCTGTTGAAGTGCAAAGGAACTCTGGAGAAGCTGAAAAGGAAACTCAAATGGCAGAAGTGGAGGTTTGTCAAACTC